TCAGAAAATCTACTTACCATACATTCTTTCTTAGAAAGTTAAATGTGAGTGTGCTTCAGCAAAATACATTCAGGTATCAGGAAGGAATAAATCATCTGATTCTAGATAGTGAGTTTAATTGAGACTTCAACTCTATGCATCAGATTTAGAAAGTGACCAGTCTAAAGCAGGGTGCTCAAGGAGATGGGTCTTAAAAAGGGGGAGGCTTGATAGATTACTTGTCGTGGTTGAAAATCTAAAAGAAAAATGGGAGCAAAATTAAGACAGTGATTCTAGGAAGAACTAGACTGAATATAAAAAAGATGATTTGGTAATTGTAAAACAAAAACAAGAAAGCAAATATAATCATAGTCTATGACATTTTTATGCAGTGAACAATTTTTATACCGTCAATAAACACAAACTATATTGCTTTTTAACTTTGAGATCAGTCTATAGTGAAAACGCAGAAGACTTAATGATGCTTATAAAAATATTAACATGGACAGTCTAGAAATAAAAGTACAGATGACAAAGCCTGGCAGATCAAGCCTCAGAAGGCTGTGTAAAAAGCTGAAGTGATACTCATATTCTCATTTACAATCTGGGGGGTTAAGAGATGTTTATACTTGAAGGATCAGGAAATGATTCTGTAGATGTATTACTTAAAGGTACAAGGGTCAGATGTAGATGAAAAGTTAAAAAGCAGGTCATTAGGATGGTGATCTACAATGAGGAATGAATAGAAATTGTAGTACATCTCCTTGTAGTCAATAAAATGAATATCATTTAGATATAGGAACACGTTTGAGATATTTTAAATGGAAAAGTAGACTATAAAATTTTAGTTATAAAATGTTCATCTGGTTATTTCTGATGATAGGCTTATGGGTCATTTTCTATACATTCAACAAATTTTCTATAGTCCTCCATTTAGGTTTATTGGTTATCTGCTATGTTTCGGCACTATGCTAGGGGCTGAGAGTAATGAATATGGAAGTTTATAAAGATAGTCAAGTCTTTGCCACACAGCTTATAGTCCAGCAAGGAAAAATACATATTGTACAAGTAACTATTTTAAAATGTGAGATTTATGGGGCAACTGGGTGCCTCAGTTGGTTAAGCGTCTGACTTACGTTCAAGTCATGATCTTGTGTTTCATGAGTTCGAGCCCCGCGTCAGGCTCTGTGCTGACAGCTCAGAGCCTGGAGCCTGCTTCGTGTTCTTTGTCTCCCTCTCTTTCTGCCCCTCCCAAGCTCGTGCTCTATCTCTCTCTTTCTCAAAAATAAATTTAAAAAAAAAATGTGAGCTTTATGATGGAGGACAATCATGATGTTAGGAGAGCATTAAGCACAAGTCAAACCTAACCTAGAAATATGGAAAAGAGTGCTTCAATCAACTTCTTTTAAGTTTTAAATAAGAGAGATTTGTTTTTGTTTTTGTTTTTTAAAGCAGAGATTCAAAGATAGGAACATACTGTTATCTCAATCAATTACATAAATGTATGTGCTCAGGAAAAATTCTCAAGGGAAACAGTAAAATATTAACTGAGATTATATTTAGATTCTGGAATCTGAGGAATTTTGTATTCTTCTTTATACTTTCCTGATTTCTCCAAATTTTATACAAATTGGATTAATGGTTTTGATAATAAAGTTTATTGTTACTGGTGAAGCAGTTAGTTATTTGTGCTTTGAGATCCTTTCCCTAGTACTACCTATGGAAGTGGAAGGCAGTTACTAATCTATCTGAAGCACAATTACAAGCAGTTACCAAAACATCTGTCTACCTTAGGCATTTCTAAAGGCTGTCACTGGAGATGGTAGATTCATTTCAACAAATATTTCAGTTAGCAAACTTGGAGACTGTGTTTGTTTGCCATGAATTTTGCTAGTAGAAGCACATGTTGGGATACTCCTCGAAAGTGTAAGAAGATGCAGATGACAGGAATAAGCCTAGCGGTGACCTGTTATTTCTGATACTTCTTTGTTTACTGGGCTACTGTGTCATGCCTTTTAAAATTTAGCTATACCCTGTACTTTGTTTTTAGTGAAAAAATGTGGTTTAAAATGTAAAGTAATCCCTGTTTTTATGCCCATGTTCCTTGGATTGTGTTTCTGGGTTCTAAAAGCACTTAAATTGGTTTTCCAGTGACTACTTTCAAGAACTTATTCCTACACGTAAGATCAGATCTGTCAGTGGTAACTTTTATGGACTTGGACATTTAGTGTACTGCACGTATAAGCCCTCTGCCTTATATTATTTCTCCCGTCACACATTTATATCATTACTTTGAGAGCCACATAACTATATTTTACCCAAAGATCTTTTTTCTCCAACACGAACTAAGGCAGAAAATCAAATTAATGCATCTTAAGTTGGCAATACATATGAAAACCTCATGTTACAGCTACAAGATTCAGCTGAAAGGTAAATTGCAGTGTGTGCACCCAGAGATTTAAGATCAGGTTCCAGGGACATCAGCATTCACAGAAAATCTCCTGTGTTCTCATTCTGGAGGAGATTTATCAATATAAGGAAAGCATAGGGTTGGTGTATGAATGTGTCACTTTATCTAACTTCGTCTTCTCACTTCTACTTGTGTGTCTCTGCTAGAAAGATGGGGGGGTGGGGGACAAAGGGCAGTGTTATATCATGGAAATAGTGTAGTCTGCTAGTCCAGAGAGCTGGGTTCTAATTCTGACTTTACCATTAACCACTTACGTCACCTCACTTCTCTGGCTCTCATTTAAACCAAATGATCTCTTTGAGTCATTTCTAATGTAAATGTTCAGTGATTCATGAGATCTAACTTTTGGATAATTGTGGAGAGTAAGGGCTGCTCCTTACACAGCTACCCTCCTCTGGGGTCCAGGCCTTTTGTCCTCTCCCCTATTCAGAGCCACTTTTCCTCTATCAACTACCTACATAAGGAAAATCTCACAGCAAGGATTCAACAGTGATGAAGGAGCCATACGAAAACAACATCCTCCATATGGCCCAAAGGAGAGAGGTCTCAAGGGGTATGGATTTAGAGTCCAAAACATGTATCTTCTTTGGAGGAAGCTCTCAGGCCTCCCCAGCTAAACTTATTCTCTCTCTTTTTAAAAAATTTTCAATGTTTATTTACTTTTGAGAGAGAGAGCGAGCAGAGAAGGGGAAGAGAGACAGGGAGACACAGAATCTGATGCAGGGTCTCGAACTCACGAACCATGAGATCATGACCTGAGCTGAAGTCGGCCACTTAACCAACTGAGCCACCCAGGTGCCTCTAAACTCATTCTCTCATCCCTTTCCTACTTGTTCTTCAGTATCCATTTACCTGAACAACTTCTTCCAAATCTACTTCCATCTCCAGATTGACATCTAAGCTGATTCTGCCAGTGGGGACAATGAAGGGGTCATAAAGGAAAGTAAGCAAAAACTTAATATACATTCAAGGGGGAGGAGCCCACAGTAACAAAAATCAAGGTTCTGTATGCCCCCTACCAACATAAAACACTGCTTTCCTCTAGAAGCTCAACCATTTTCTATGATGTACATTCCATATAAAAGTACATTCCGTAGCACAATGAGCAACTATGGACTGAATTCTCTGGAAACTGCCATCATTTCTCTTTCTACCTTCCTTTTGTTTCTAAGAGCAGTTGTGGATTAGTATAGACCCAAAGTAGGAGTTGAAATATGTATTGCATCATTTGTCATGTAGCTACAAAGGAAGCAGCAGAGCTAACCAGAAATGAGCAACAGGAGATTTCTGATAAACAACTCTGATGGTTATCTAGAAGCTGAATTAAATCATAGACACCAGAATTTGGAATTGCATTTTGAGCTGCAAAATTAGAGGTAATTGCTTCCCACTTATACGATAGTGTCAATTTAATATGAGATTTGAGTATGGCTTTATAGGCTTAGCATTCCATTCTGTGTTAGTGCAGAGAACATTTATTTACTTATCAGGCTTCCATGGAGCCCATTTAAATTTGGAAAAAGAAATGATTTAAAAAAAAAAAAAAGAAACCTGGTTGTCCTTATATGGATACCATAATGGATATTGATAGTATTTAGAAGTAAAATGAATGAGATTACCTTTTTAGAGACTCAGTATTCACCAGTGAAAATATGCAACTGATGAGTTCAGCCCTGCTCTCAGGCAGTTTAAGCCTTTCCCAATATAGAACAGGAAGTTAGAATGGATGCTTCTCTCATTGGGTTTGCATCAAGTAGACCAAATGAAGATTGTATAACTCATGCACCTTTGGCTTGCCCTTTCTCTCTCTAATTTGGGAACAGAAAAACCAACAATCAATTTTGGATTCTGACAGGAGAGACAAAGGAGGAGCAGTGAGATTCTGGGGGAATTTAAAATCTTGCTACATCCCCAACTCACCGTGGTTTGGACCCCTTCATTATGGAAGCAGCTCCTGCCAGTCATTTAAGACACTTGAGTCTTGTTTCAAGAGACGTATTGTTCTTTCTTCTGCAGACTCACAATTCTTTTATTTACTCTTGGGAAGAAAAAGCAGGTAGAAGCTTAAAAGCTGGATGTCCCTGCACTTCCATCTCCTTGTTCATCATTCAGAACCAGGCAGAAAGATGATGGGACTGTGTGTCTCTAGCAAAGGGATATTTTTAGGTACTGAAGTGTTTCCAGAGACAACTGGTCAGAGAAGTTAGAGGTAGAGAAAAAAAGGGGATCTAGATCTCCTATAACCAGTTACTGCTTTTGCCACAGGACTCTGTATTGATAGACCTCCTGTCCCACACACTTTCTTTTCCTCTCCCCTCTCATTTGATGTCTTTTTTCTGACCCTAAATTTCACCTTTCATAGTAAGAGGTCAGTATGTTTTCATACTTGGGAAATCTCATTCAAGAATTTTTGTCAATGGACAAGTCATAAGAAGCCCTTCCATTTTAGGGCTCGTTGACGTCACCAAGGAGGCGATAAATATCTGTTGATATAATTGGATGTGAGATTCAGTGTTGAGATAGCAAAACTCTGCCCCTCGTTCTCTGGCAGGGCCCTATGATTTATGCAGGAGCAGAGGCAGCACGCAATCGAGCTGTCAAGAGAGCGTCAGCTTATTAGGCAAATGCTGCGTGGTTTCTGAAGAGGGTCGACACTATAAATCCCACTCCAGGCTCTGGTGAGGAGAAACTCAGAGCCCAGGTCGGCTGAGAGACTGAAGCGAAGGAGAAGAAGAGAGTGAGGACAGAAAGGAGAGGAAAACCCTTGAAAAAGCCCCGGAGACTTTCCTCTGCAGAAGCACCTCCGAAGGTAGGGAGCGCCTGGACGGAACTTCCCGCCGGGGCTGTCCCGGCGCGGCCGTGTTGAGTGTGTGCGTGTATTTGCTGACGGTGCCTCAGACTCCGATAGTAATTGGGAGGTGTCAAAAACAAACTTAGACGGTTGCTAATTCCCATTCGAACTGCCAGTTACTAGTTGCTGGCGGTGTAGACGAGCCCCCCCGCCCCCCCCCCCCGATCGATCTCGACCCCTGAGAGGAGGCCGTCAGGGCTGGGATGCAGACAGAGGAGCAGCGGTTTTCATCTGGGGGGACAACGCCGGAGCATCCGGAAGCGGGGCGGGCGTTCACGGCGAGGGAGATGTAAAGTCTAGATCTTCTCCAGAGCTCGGGGAGTCAGTTTTGGGGATCGTTAGGAGGGGGACTCAGAGACCTGGCGAGGGGCTGAGTTTTGGTGCTGAGCCTTGTAGGCGTCCCTTCTCCCGCCCGCCCCCCCTCCGGTGGAAGCTCTAGTCCGGGCGCTTCAGCACCGCGGACAGCGCCCGCCGCGAGCCTGCGGCACGTCCACGGGTGTCCGTGTGGGAAGACCCCCCCCAACTCCGGTGGAAGCTCTAGTCCGGGCGCTTCAGCACCGCGGACAGCGCCCGCCGCGAGCCTGCGGCACGTCCACGGGTGTCCGTGTGGGAAGACCCCCCGCAACTCCGGTGGAAGCTCTAGTCCGGGCGCTTCAGCACCGCGGACAGCGCCCCGCCCCTCCCCCCCGAGCCTGCGGCACGTCCACGGGTGTCCGTGTGGGAGGACGCCCCCCCCGCACTTTCCGTGTGAGCTAAACTCTGACCGACTCTTTCTTTCTCTCCCTTCCCGCCCCGCTGCCCGCCGTCTCTGCCGCAGCAGGCGCCCACCATGCGGCTGCCGCTGCTCTGGCCCGCGGGCGCCCTGCTGCTGGCCCTGCTGCCCGGCCCGCCGTGCGGGGCGCTGCTCAGCCGGGGGCCCGCCCCGCCGCAGCCCCGGCAGCCCGCCCTGCTCCGCGTGGGAGAGGAGTACTTCCTCCGCCTGGGCGACCTCGGCAAGAGCCCCGCCGCCCCGCTGCTGCCCGCCTCTCCCCCTGTCGCGGGCGGCAGCGGCGGCCGCCTTGCCCCGGACGAGGCGGCCGCCAACTTGCTCCGAGTGTTGCTGCAGCAGCAGCAGCCGCTGCCCCGGCGCCCGCCGAGCAGCCCCGCGGGGCCCGCCGAGCCCGGAGCCGGGAGCGCCCTCGGCAGCCGCCGGGAGACACTCGAGAGGCCGAGGCGATCGGAGGAACCTCCCATCTCGCTGGATCTCACCTTCCACCTCCTCCGAGAAGTCCTGGAAATGGCCAGGGCTGAGCAGTTAGCGCAGCAAGCTCACAGCAACAGGAAACTGATGGAGATTATTGGGAAATAAAACGGTGCGTTTGGCCAAAAGGATGCAGCATTTAGCACAAAAGTCTTAAAAAATTGAAAAAATAAAATACAGCATTCTGTATCATAGCGTTGCTCTGATACCATTTGTTTATTTTTTTTAAAGCTTGAAGCGTAGACTATGTACAGCAAGAGAGCCTATACTCCTTAATTAGCATGCACAAAGTGTATTCATGCGCAGTAACAGCAGCAAATGTTGTTTCTATTGTCTACTTTTAGTTTCCATTTCCAGGTGTCTTTAATGGTGTTTAGAAAGTATGGACCCAGAAGGAAATGTTTTGAAGCAGACAGAAGTCATCCAATTTATTTTGTTGTGGTTTGAGCCAAAGAGAATGTCATTCTCTTGGGTAGGCGACACAAACTCTGTAAGCTCTTTGCATCAACCTTTCCTTGTAAACGTTTCAGTAATAAAAAAATCTTACCAATCATTGGTCAATTTGGCTGTGTAAGAGAATGTCGAATATTTATATTTTTAATAAAAGCTGCAAAGGTAATCATGACTTTATTTTTCCTTTTCAATATTCATAGGAGTAAAACTTTCAGCTCCTGGGTTCCTTCAACCTGATATCAGCACGGGAAGGGCTGAAAACTCTTTGCATTAGTTTCTTACTAAAAATACAAACATGTCAAGTGGCTTCCACAGATACTGCGGTCGCCTTGGACTCCTCTCTGTACCTCTGGTTACTCCTCTGAGGTTAAGTTAAATAATTCAGGAAGTTGCTTCCAGCTCTAAGACTTGGTAATTCTATGAATGGAAGATCAGTTCATAATGGAAATAACAACCCTGATTAACTACAAGATGCTGAATAATTGGAGAGGGCAGGGAAGGAGGAAAGGAAAAGAGAAGTGTTGAGGCAGGGCATTCCTCCAAACTCTAGGGCCAACATGCTGCCTGTGTGTGTGTGTGTGTGTGTGTGTATGAGAAAGTCAATTTATGAAGCTACTACATTAGCACCATAAAATATACTTCTTCTAAGCTATTTGTCAGTGCCTACCTCTAAAACAAGAAACTCAATAGTTCTACACTTAAATTTAATTGCCATGAAATGGCACTTGGGAAAACTTTTCGTGTAAAAAGTATTTTGACTTTAATAACTTCACAAAATGCTCTTCTCATTTATGTCTATACCAATCCTAGTCAGTTTAATTCGAAAGAATATAAATTATCTCTATGCATTTCTAAAATGGAACAGGTACATCCAATTAGTTTTATAATGTATTTATCTTTGGTAGTTGAGTTACAACTTACAGAAATTCAACTGAATGTTTAATACTTCAAAATTACTTTGGATTTCTGAAGATGCTTCTTCCCTTGGGACCCCTTAACTACACTTGACTAATGTATTAATAAGATAACAATGAAACACTAAATAAGTCATTATAAGACTAAGTTGTTAAAAACAGCATTTATTTTAGGGTTCATACAGAATAAAGTTATACTTATGTTTTGAAAGAGGCATTATGGTGGGACAAATAAAGCATGATTTAAATATATATGTATTTTATATATGCATCGTGTGTGTGTATATATATTTAAATACATGCAGTTATTCTATAATTCACCAGGTTAGTGCCTCACTGGATACACAAGAAAGTAGAGAGTTCCTGTTGGAAAATCTTTTTTCAATTTAAGTGCTTGATATCTGCACATCTAAGATTAGAAAAATGTCACAAGAAATGTCCCAGGCCTTCAGCCTTCTGGACTGTGGAAGCATCACCAGAGTTAAAGAACATTTCTTGATATACGAGTGACATCTGTTATGGAAAAGAGGAAACCTTTGTAAAATGTTTCATATCTTTGGTCAATGATTTACCTTTTGTCCGTATATTGATAAATCAGTCACTTCTGAATTAACACTGAATTTCACTGACCAATTGCATTGGTAAAGAAGAAAGAACAAGAGCTACTTTTATATAATGACAAAAGCCCGTGCCTATTAGAGACAATAGTGTGGTGTACACTTTTCAACACTTGCCACCCGCTACGGACACATGCGCATGTATCACACTTACATACTCTTCATAATGTTTCCCACGCAATACAAGATTCGCATGGGATCAAGTTTCTTTTTTTCCATTGCTTTCAAGCAACTATGCTTTTCAAAATTGTTTTCCCTACGGAAAGTCATCTGGAATTAAAGGGGTTTTTGTTTTGGTTTGGTTTGGTTTTTTGCAGAAATCCTGTTCCGAGGTCCCTTTCATCACCTGCATCCTATTAATTTCATGTAGGTTCCCTGCTGCTGGTGTCCACCTCAGCCAGGCAGACAGACGGCAACAGTTGGAATGAGCATCATTCATTCAGGGAGTTCAACCAGGAGAAGGAGAAGACGTGGCGAGCTGGCTCGGAATCCGCTCCGTTCCCACTTCCCGAAGCTGCAGCCCGTGCCTGGGGGGGCGGGTCCTCAAACCCAGTCTGCAATAGAAGGAAATCTGAATCAGAGGAAGAAGAGCCTCGGCCTTCTGGACTCGTCCAGTCACTTTTCTACTTAGGAGGAAGGATAATAATAATAATTAGTATATAGGACATAATTATTATTAGCGATAGAAAGCAAGCTCAGGCTCTCTTGCTTATGGCCAAGAGCCCTGAAAGTCATTCACACTCATGACCCAAAAGGGGCGGCAGCCCTGCATGCGGTGGAGGGAGGCTCCTGGGAAAGAGGCCAGGCTATTCTTTTTTTTTGTTTTTTTAAGTCTACTTATACATAATTTACTGAGGTGAAAGTGGCATCGAACCAACAGGAATTTGGATTTAGAAAAGCCTGCAGCGCACAACATGATGGCTATAGTTAACACTGCTGCGTGACGTATTTGAAAGTTGGTAAGAGAGTAGATCCTAAGAGTTCTCCTCACAAGGGAAAAAAAAAAAATCCACAAAGGAAAAAAACTTTTTTTTTCCTTTCTGCCATCTATATGAGATGACGGATGTTAACTAAACTTATGGTGGTGACCATTTCGTAATAGATGTAAGTCAAATCACTTATACCTTAAGCTTACGCAGCGCTGTATATTACAGATGTATATGTCAATAGTACAGGTTTTGCAAGCTGCAGGCTTAGTTGTGAGCAATCATGAATGAAAGGACTTTTTTTCTCTAGGCAATAAAATCTAATAACATAAAAATTTATTTTTTGTATAGCCATCTCTTTAAAAGGCACCTATCTTTCATAGATCCAAGACAGAGACAGCTATGATTTTGAAGCAATTGATCAATCTAACCTCATAGGGGAAATTTATTTCTATTGTTTTGAGCTTAAAAAATAACAGTGAAATGGAGGACAGTCATAAAGCAGCCTTGCTGAAATGCAATGTGATGTATAAACTCAAACTCCTTGCATTTAAAGGTGCTCTGACAAACACAGTTCTTCCCAGAACGACTGCAGACGGGCTAATATATTCTGATGACTTCACTGGTAAAATTATCCCACTGGATTAGAATGCGACTGATTTCAAAGCAATGAGGTAGGCGCATGCATTCAACTCAGAAGCCCTGGTGATTTCATGAAGCTGCTGTGAGAATGGACACTAGCTGACATGACAAAGCAGAACTTTGGTAAGTATGCTGTTCTGTTGCCACTTAAAATAGTTTTGAGTGAAAATGAGTACTTTTCCTATACCTTACCAGATTTTACCCTAAATATAGGTTTGGGGGTAACGTTTCAAATTTAGTAAATTTGTCCCAGGTCCTTAGGATTATCCTTCCCACTGCCATGTTGCTCCTCGATAGAAAGTTTCAAAGGGCCGGGGCACCTGGGGGGCTCAGTCAGTTAAGTGTCCAACTTCGGCTCAGGTCAGGATCTCACGGTTCCTGAGTTCAGGTCCCACGTGAGGGTCTGTGCTGTCACCGCAGAGCCTGCTTCAGATCCTCTGCGCCCCCCCCTTCTCTGTCCCTTCTCTGCTCTCTCTCTCTCTCTCTCTTTCAAAAATAAACATTTCAAAAACCTTTAAAAGGGCCATGAAATCATATTAGCTACAGCAGAATAAAACTTAAGCGAGTAGTTTTCCATGAAGAAATAGTTGACCCATCAAGTGAAATTGGGCTTTTGAAAAAAGGCTGCTATTATGTTATTAGATTCTGTTGGTAATGGGTTAGATACCTCGGTGTCCTCGAAGCTGATGTGGAAAAAACAATATCATGGCAGAATTCCATGCCTATTTATGTACATCCAAACTCTTCTCTTCCCCACCGTAGTCACCTTACTCTAATCCGAAAAACAAAACCCATACCAAACTGAAACAAAACAAAAAACAAACAAACAAACAAAAAGCCCCCCAATCCCAGGTTATCTGGGCACATCAATTGATCTGTAAAAGACCTTTTTCTAACCATTTTATAGGCGTGAATACTGACCTCTGCCTAAACAGACAGACCATTTTTATGCTAAACGTGATGATTTGTTTCAAGCCAACATGCTTCTTTTGGCAAGATTCTTGACAACCAAAGGCTGAAACTGCCTTTAGTGCTCAATTGAAGCCAGATACGTCCCCGGACACTTGGCATCGGCGGTATGATACAACTGGGCGCAGTGTCACGTGCGTGCCTTATTTTAGCGTGGGGGCGGCACCCGCAGCCCCTCTACAGAATGCATCCTGCGCCACATGATTCGCTGACTGAACAAAACTACACAGATGCTTTCCTGGTGTTCACTCTGTCACAAGTCCGGTAGCCACATTTAGGAGGGAAAATACTTTCGTAGCTGGCCTGAAGTACGAGTGGGCTCTTTGGCAGCTCGCCAGCGCCCTCAGGCCTCTTCGCAGCTTCCCAGGGGCTCCATGAAGTGCCAGCATCCGCCTTTCCCCCAAACGATCATTGTCGGCTCCACCCATGATCCTGATCCCTTACCATTTCCCTACTTGTGTTCCAGTTCCTCAGCCTATCCGGGTGATAGGAATTTATCTGATAAACTGAATTACAGCTGACACATTAATGGATGATGATGGCCGAATGTAGACCCCTGCCCCACATAGCATGTCTTATCCTGAGGGTTAACTGTGGTAAGCATGGGAGCCACCATGCCAGGCCATTGAAAGGATATCGGGGGCAGTGAGGAGATTTGCCCAGGCCCCCCCACAACGGACCTCCATTTCCTCTCTGCCACTGTGAATGCCAATCACAAATTCCACCTGACAGAAGGATCCGGTTATCACTGCCTGCTAAATGCCAGTCTTGGCCGATTCAAAAGGACCCTTGCGCATTCATAATGAAACTCATTTGCCTTAAAGGAATGTGCATAGAAGGGTTAAAACTAGACTTGAGGCTGCTGAGTGGGCAACCACCCTGTCCCTAGGTGAGGGGACTAGGTGAGGGGCTCAAAGCCAGATGCTGCAAACAGGTGTGAGTGGGATTGCTGAGCTCATGCTTAGAATGCTTGCTCAGAGAGACTAAACTCCAACACTGGCCTGCCCCCTACACGGCATTCCCGAACCGCAGGCCCTCTGACAACTTAAGCGTAATGGATTCCAGACTGGAAAAGAGAATACAGCCAAAAGCCTGAGCCAG